GAACAGCAGGAGGGTGGGGCTTCGGTACCTGAGATGACCATATTAGGGATATCCCCTCCCAGAGTGTGTGCAGAGTGCAGGCTTGTATCACATGGATAACTTGAACATATGTTGACCTCTGAAACTTTTAGGAGATAAATGACATGAAAAACAAAAAGCAGCATGAGGCAGTTAAATTACAGGTCATGGAGTGTAAGAGACTTAAAAACTTAAACAAATGACCTCAAATCTGCTTAGAAACAGTAAAAAATCAGTCATCATGTTTTCTTTAAGACCCCAGTAATCGACTGGTACACATCACAAACAGAAGCTGACTTTTAAACAGATCTACACGTTTGCGTTTCAGTCGGGTTTATCTCGGGTTTCATCCACAAGCTGAATTTCAGAATTTTAAGCTGAAAAATACATGACAGGAAAGATCAGGATCCAGGATTTTACTCAGAGAAGCACCGAAAACGAAGGTCATTGCAGCCTGTGACCGGAGCAGGGACGTCCCCGAGAGAGAAGTCAGGCTTTATTTCAAGTTTAACCCGACTGATGAAGCTGCAGTGCGTCAGTTAATTGTTTTCTGATAATTTCTTCACTTTGCTCCAGTTTCTAACCTATTAAACCCTCACAGTTTGGCCTATATTCTGGAGTTTCTAACTTATACAACATCCAGAGTCAGTAAAGACAGCTCAGTGACTGAGAGGCCGAGCTGAACAAAGGTCGGCTTTATGGATCAGAGACGACAGGAGAGTTTTCAGGAGACAGTGAAATCTTAAACCTGAGAGGAAATAACCGTAAACCTGCTCTGTGCGTGGAAACTCAGATCACAGGAACAAGAACAAAGTTCAGTCAGCAGCTTCTGAAACACCTTTGGTCCTGAGCGGTGAGGGTCAGGGTGATCCTCGCAGATTCATAAAGAGGCTCGTGAAATGTCCACTAAACACTTTGTGCTAACGTCTGGCTTTCCTGCAGGTGATCGCCGTGGTGATGGACGTGTTCACGGACGTGGACCTGCTCTGCGACCTCATGGAGGCGTCCAACAAGCGCAGAGTCCCCGTCTACATCCTGCTGGACGAGAAGAACCTCGGACACTTCACAGGCATGTGCTCCGCGCTGGATATTCAGAACTCTCACCTCAGTGTAAGTACAGCACACAGCAGCACTGACTGCAGGGCCGCGAGGGGCAAACATGAGCGACGCCCTCAGGCGCTCATATTAAACAGCAGAAAGTGAACTGACTGCACGTCATCCCCAGAGCTCGGGCCTCGCAGTTTTTCTCCATCCCTGACTCTGCAGGATGTCATAGAAAGAAGACATCCCAAATATGGTCATTTCAGGCACAGCTGAGAAGCCCCGCCCACCTACTGTAGAAATCTTCCATTTATTTGTAGCAACCAGTTAGAATAAAGCTGTTTTAAAGGAGGCGGAGCCAGAACAGCTTATTTCAAAGATGGGGCACACCAAAGGCCGACATTAGAGTCTTAAAGAGAATAACAATGAGACTGAACCTGTAAGGAGTCCCATTAGAAGCTGGAATTATTCATCCGCTTTTTGCCAGTTAATGTATTTATCATTGAAATAGTGAAAAAAAAGACGTAAAATTTCCTACATCTCAAAATGACGACTTTGTCGGTCAGATTTGATGAAGTCGGTGTTCTTGCTTGTTCTGCTGGTTCGTCTGTAAAGAGTCGAAACTTTTTCCATGTTTGAGAAACGAGATTTCAGGTCAAAGTTTTATGGTCTTTACAAGAACAACAGCTTATTGTTTCTGGATCCATGAAATTGCTG